TAGGATTCCAGAGCCCCTGGGAGCAGCGAGGCCCGCGTGGGGTCCTGCTTTCCCCGCATGATAGCATGAGCCCCCCCAGGAGCCTCCTGGGACAGTCCAACGTGCTGGCGATCTCAGACCCCCCTTCCCACCCCCAGCCCATTACTTACCAAACCGGCCCATCATCATCCTGCAAACAAGAACACAGAAAGTGGTCAGACAGGTCAGTTTACTAAGGAGCATGACGGAGCACGATGGCTGCCCAGGGCAAGGGCTACTGAGAGCAACGCAGCCCACAGTCTGCTCCGTTCTGAGCCACTGGAATTGCAGACGAGGCACTCATGGATAACTGATGTCTGCCCAGGCCAGCTGCAGATCACCATCCTCACCTGCACATTAACCACCTCCCTCCTGTCATCTTCCTTCCCTCCTGCTCTGGCTCCCGCCGGTGAGAGTGAGAGCGTGCCCCAGACACTGCCCGCTGCTCCTTCCGCCCGTGCAGGCTTCTGCCTCGCTCTTCTTAGCGCCACCCAGCCCCTTGCAGCTCTGAGAAGCAAAGTCACGAGCCTGTAATATGGGGGAAGGGGGCTGCTCATGTTCTCTAGGATTCCAGAGCCCCTGGGAGCAGCGAGGCCCGCGTGGGGTCCTGCTTTCCCCGCATGACAGCATGAGCCCCCCCAGGAGCCTCCTGGGACAGTCCAACGTGCTGGCGATCTCAGACTCCCCCTTCCCACCCCCAGCCCATTACTTACCAAACCGGCCCATCATCATCCTGCAAACAAGAACACAGAAAGTGGTCAGACAGGTCAGTTTACTAAGGAGCATGACGGAGCACGATGGCTGCCCAGGGCAAGGGCTACTGAGAGCAACGCAGCCCACAGTCTGCTCCATTCTGAGCCACTGGAATTGCAGACGAGGCACTCATGGATAACTGATGTCTGCCCAGGCCAGCTGCAGATCACCATGCTCACCTGCACATTAACCAGCCGTTAATGCCACCTGGAGGGGAGGCATCTAAACCTTGAGAGGGACTAACACGGAGAAGACTTCAGCAGGAGGCAGGTCTTCCAGCAGCCACTGAATGGCAAACCTTAAAGAACAGGCTGCAGACTATCCAAGGGTTGCGATGCAGTGAGTGAACACAATGCACTTTCAGGGACTCAGGAAACAAAACGATTCTAAAAAGACCAGGCTCCGATTCCAAGCAAGTGACGCTGAAAACATGAAGGACAATGACTATCTTCTTGAAGATTTCCAGAGCATGAGCGTACTGTTCTTTTCCATGAGCTGCCTTACTGAGAGGCAAAGACATCTTTATTTAACCCCCCACCCAGGCTCATGTCCTGTGGCTCTACCTTATTTAACAACATTTACTTGCACACCTACTATGTGCAGACCATGGACATACAGAAGTAAACCCCTCATAGCCCCTGCCCTCAAGACGTCCAGTGGGAAGAGACAAGCATAAGCCATGTAGGAGACGGCATGGGAACTAAAAGCAGCCAAGCATGGAGAGCTTCTTGGAGGGGGTGACCTCATAGGTTCTTCTACAAAGAGAAATAGGAAGGACACTGAGACTAGTGGGAGGTGGCAGCACCACCTTAAGAAACTAAATGTGGATCTTTGGGCCACTAAGTGGTTTTCAGCAGACATCCCATGATTTAGATGCCCCATCAGTTCCCCTGCAGCCACGTGGAGGGGAAGGGACAGGAGACAGCAACTGGGAGTCTGGAGACCAGGATAGCAAAATGAGCCATGAGAACTGGCCTGGATGTCAGCCTGGAGAAGGGACCGCCCACCTCTCCAGGACCCACCCCCTCTCCCCGGTTCCTGCCAGCAGAGTGACGCTGCCTCGGGGCTAGGAAACCCCAACTCCATCCCTTGCTGCTCAGGACTGTCTGGCATCCAGTTGAAACAGCTCCCACTGGAATCTCCCCATCCTGACTTTGGGGCATTCCCCATCCTCCTGAAAACTACTTTAGGGCCCTGAGGCACTTCCCACATGCCCCTGTGCTGGATTTTACATTTCTTCAGGTATGTCCTTCCTTGCCAGCCTGATGGCCAGCCCTGAAGGAGGGGAACTACATCCCACACAGCTCTCAGCACCTCTCAGTGCTCCGCACATTGCCTGGAACACAGAGGACCCTGTGTGTGCTGTTCACTGCTGCTGAATTGCCGAGGCCATTCTCGCAACCCCTCACTCGTTCTCCAATTGTCTCAGGACCATTCTGGTTTTACCCAGGATGACTGCCAAGCTCCCAGCTCCTCCCTGCTGCCCTCTCTCCTGTCCTCCTCACCCGGTGGGAGACTGCAAAAGACGGCCACAGCTTCTTCCCATCACTGCACACCCCCTGCTGCAATGTGCCTGGGCGTCAGGAGGCGGAGTCTGTCTCCCACCTTCTGATCCAGGATGGCCTATGACTTGCTTTGACCCACAGAAGTGAGGACATGGGGTAAGCATCCAAGATAAGGTCTCTATGGCCTGCAGCTGCTCTCCCTCTCTGGGGACCCTGGGTGCTCCATGAGGAGGAAGGACATGTAGGGGAGACCATCTCAGCCTCCCCAGCCCCAGAAGAACCTTCAGACGTCTGCAGTCACATGAGCAACCCTGGGCAAGACTAGCCAAAGAACCACCCTGCTGAGCCCACTCCAAATTGCTGAGCCTCAGAACTGGCAGCAGCAAATGAAACAGCTGTCGTCTTCAGCCACTTGGCTCTGAGGGTGGTTTGTTACAGAACAGGCACCTAAGACACCACCCCAACCCCAAATCTTCCCAAGCTGCTCTCCTACTGCTGAACAGGCCAAACTGCTGCTAAGGGCTGCTGTGCTGGGCACAGAACCGCATTCTCCACCCTCCCCTCCCCCTGCTCTCCTCTCTATTCCCTTTCACAGGCTTGGAACAGACCTGGAGGCCACCTGCCAGGCTGTGCACATGCGTCAGGCCGCACGTCGCATCTCTTCAGTTTCCCTGACAGTGCACACACCACAAGTGGATTCCTGTGTCAGCTCCAGTTTTTGAAAGACCATACGTGATTGTCTGGCACAGTAATTAATCACTCTGTGAACTGAGCTGGTGGGTTAGCAGAGACAATCAATTTTTAAATGTTCTGTTTCATTTGAAACAGGTGTAGTTGAGAGGCACAAATGCAGTGGATTTTAAAGATGCTTAACAGGATGTCATAAAGGCTCCTAAAAACCACACACAAAATATACTATTTGATGTGCTATTTTCAATAGATTTAAAGCCTTTCAGACTTCTTGAAACTCGCCCTCTGGCTTTCTCTTAGAGAAAAGAGATGGCTCGGCAATGTCTGTCAAAGGAAAGTTCTGGTTTAGACATGCATGTGGCTCCCTTCCTCTGCTGGCACTAATAGAGATGGATAAATGAGCCAGACGACAGATCTTTTTAACCATCCTGAATTCTCCCCTCCCCAACACTCTTAAAGTCCACCTTCTAAAATAAAGAATGAAAAATCCAAAGGCTTTGGATGATAACTTAGCTCAGTGTTAAAAACTAAAGAAAGTATGGGGAGCAAAGAAAGCCAGGGTGGAAGGCCGCCTGAAAACCTCATCCTAAGACTAAGGAAATGGAGTGGGAAACAGCCCCACAATGCCAGAGTCCCCGGCTCACTCGGGCAGCAGGGCCTGGGAGGGCAGGTGACAGTTCTACTTACTCCGTGGTTGTGGTCAGCTCCTCCGAGACGTGGCTAGAATGCAGCAGGCCTTCCCGCTTCTGAAAACCCCAAAGTAAACAAGTAAGTACACAAAAACCAAGCAGACAGAGATGAGAATGGCAGACTGGCGGGGTGGTTGAAGCTGCATGTGGATGGCCAGGGGCCAGGAGACTACCTTAGAAAGGAGCCACAGGATAAAATCAAGGTGTTGCAGGGTTGAGAAAAATAAAAATATAGACCCTCCTCCCATAACCAGGCACACAGCACCAGCACCTCGGGGCCCACCTGGGGACCTGAGTCATGGAGAAGGGGACTGGACCCCTCCCTCCCACAACCAAGCACACCATACCAGTGCCTCAGGGCCCGCCCAGTGACCCAAGGCCTGGAGCCGGGGACTGGATACCTTTTCCACAACCAGGCACACTGCACCAGTGCCTTGGGCCCCGCCCAGGGACCCAAGGTATGGAGTTGGGGACTGGACCTCCCCCTCCCACAACCAGACACACTGCTAGCACCTTGTGGCCCCACCCAAGGGCTCTGGGCTTGGAGTCAGGGACCAGACCCCCCTCCCACAACCAGGCACACTGTGCCATTGCCTCAGGGTCCATCCGGTGACCTGAGGTATGGAGCCAGGGAGTGGACCCCCTTCCCACAACCATGCACACCATGCCAGCACCTTGGGGCCCACCCAGGGACCCAAGGTATGGAGCCAGGGACCAGACACACCCCACAACCAGGCACACCGCCAGCGCCAAGGAGCATGCCAAAAACATCACCTCCATGTGGGTGGCCCACCACAGCTACCACAGTAACCACAGCTGTTGTGAAAGTGGCTAGATGCCACAACCGCCACGCAGATGGTCCGCCAACCACTGGCGTGCATTGACACAAGGAGAGTCACCAGCAGAGATAAAGAAAAGAAGAGGATGTCTCTCTCTAAAAGACAAAGCCCATTTCAGGGTGACAGAAGAAGCATCTGCTCTATGACAATATTGGGGGACCTGATCACACCTCTCAGCACTGGACAGATCATCTAGGCAACAAATCGACAGAGTAACCATTATCCTTTCAGAAGGAGAGAAGAAAGCTAGAGTAATTAGAGGGGAGAGGGGGGAGTGAGAGCAGAATGGGGAGAGATGGGACAAGGGGCATAAAGGATAATTACAATTTGTAACAATATATATGCTAGTAATATTGATTTGATCAACATATCTCAATGTTGAACCCCCAAACTATGTATAATCAATTTTGAATCAATAAATAAAATAAATTAAAAATAAATAAATGAATGAATAAATAAAAGAAAAAGAAAAATATAAAATAAAAATTTATAAAAGAAGGAGCAACAAGAGAATGAAGGGTTGTGCTGGATGCCCGCCAGTGACCACAAGGGGTGACCCTTTCAGAGACTGCAACCTGTCCCCAAACTTCTCCCACACCCTCCACTCTCCACATTGCACTGAGAGTCGGCATCTGTGTGGGCCTCGGGAGGAACACCCCGGCTCAGGCTTCCCCAGAGGGATCCTCTGCGTCCCAGCTGGGAGAGGTGGAGTGCAGAGAGGAGGGACACAAATAACAGCAAGGAACACCCAGAGAGAGAATGTGTGTGCACTGTGCTGAGTGGGGTCCCCCAGACCCTCCAAATGGGATCTCGCCTGGAAATAGAATCTTTGCAGATACTCGTTAAGAGGAGGCCTTGACGGGCTACGGCGGGCTCTACTAAATCCAGTATGACTAGTGTCCTCATTAGAAGAGAAAACAGACACAGAAACAGAGAGAAGAGGCCACGGGATGACAGATGCAGGGATCACAGTGATGCTGCCACAAGCCAAGGAATGCCAAGGACGGACGGCCAGAAAGAGAAGCAGAAAGAGGCAGGAAGGACCTTTTCCTGCAGCCTTCAGAGGGAGCCGGGCCCTGCCAACCCCTTGATTTCTGACTTCAGTCCTCCATAATTGTGAGGGAACATTTGTGTCTGCTGTTTCAAGCCACCCAGTGTGAGGTTCTTTGTGAAGCAGCCCTGGGAAACTAGCACAGTGTGTGATGTGCTTCTCCCGGAGCCCCGCAGGTGTAGAGAGACAAACGATGGGGGGCGGGGGGCAGGCCACATGTCACAGGAGCTTTGGGTGGAGCTCAGTGGCCAGATAAGGCAATCAGCCCTGGGAAACTAGCACAGTGTGTGATGTGCTTCTCCCGGAGCCCCGCAGGTGTAGAGACAAACGATGGGGGGCGGGGGGCAGGCCACATGTCACAGGAGCTTTGGGTGGAGCTCAGTGGCCAGATAAGGCAATCACCAAGGCAGGCCCCTACACAAACACCCCAAGGGACCAGAGCTCACTTCCTGCTGAGGCAGCCCACAGTGGACACCATCCAAGCGTGGCCTCTGGGGGACTCTCAGGGCTGGTTCTTGCTCATGAGCACCCGCAGTTGGGTGACCATCAGCTTCCTCATGCCGTCATCCTGACAGAGTCTCCGGAGAGCCCACGGGGGAAGGTCCAGAGACCTTTGTTGGCTTAGTCACACGCTAAACATGCACTAGCCCGGGTCTAGGTATCAGAGACAGGAAGCTGAATATTTCAAAGTTTGTGGTATAGTCTCAATCTTATGGGGGAAATGATGGCAGCTCAGAGAAATCAAGCGGTCTGCCCAAGGCCACGCAGCCACGTAGCAAACCAGGCCTCTGCCCTTATTCTTTCCGTTCATGAAATGCCACATTCCCTGCATCACCCCATCTCGGATGAAGTAACTAGTTACCCGAGCAAGCCCAGAGGCGGAGGGACAGGCCGGGGGACTGCAGGGCAAACAGCCTTCTCAAGTATGATGTTGGCCCATTCCAGGTGTGGCCCAAAGCGCCAGCAAGTGCTTGCCTGGGTCAAACTTTCCACAAACCCAAAAGACTGTCTTGGAGCAAAATGCAAGCTTAAAAGGAAACAGCCCGGTCACTCATGCTGCACAGTGCCCGAGGGGCCCCGCTTCTGACGTAGGTGGGATTGGGAACCATGTTCCCTTGTGTCTTGGAAGCCTTTCTCAGCCAGCTGCCTGTGAGTGAGCATCCAAGACAAGGGGCTGCAGGAAGGGTCCCCGGGTCCTGAGTCACGATCACCAACCACAAACATCCTCCTTACGAAAGAAACAGGGCAAAGCAGCAGATGACCTTTGCCTGACAGCAGAAAGTGGCATTCCTGTCAGGTCAAGCTCCCGGGGTAACAGCGAGATCAGAACAGCTTCAGAAAACACAGGCTCAGCCAAGTCTTTGTGGCCACAGAGACCACGGGACTGATAAGTTCAAAAACCAGAGCAGAATGTCTCAAGTAATACCAACACCCAGACGTCCGGGTTTCGGGCGTAACCTCAACTCTCTGGCAGAAGCAGTTGCTCCTTTGGGCCCCAAGTGTGTTTTTTCCACATTCAGTGTCCCCACTGGCCCCGCGGAGTGCTTAGTAGGTGCAGAGCAGGTGCTTTGCCCACGATCACAGGACAAAATTGCCCACACAAACCCCAGGCAACATCCGTCCACTGAAATGTAAGGAAAACAGCTCCACCTCCACCTCCATTAGAAGGACCCTGCGTCCTGGTTCCATTTCTCCATGTGAATCAAGAGAAATGAACCTAAAAAAAGAGATAATAGGGAATGGTGGCTGCCCTGCAGAGCCAGTGCAGAGAAGCTTTCATTCGGGTGTCTGTTTCATACCACCCGTCCCACCCTCCTCCAGTGACTAATAAGTACATTCAAGGGGATTGAATTCCAACCAGTTGTCTTTGGAGAGAAATGAATGTTCTTTTCAAAAATGTGGAAAATTAAACCTCACACCCTCGTGCCTCCGCTTCTGCCTCTTAAATCAATCCCATTGTTCTGCTCTAATCACTTATCTGGATGCCAGAGTGAGACATAAATTTTGTCAAGAGGGAAAAACAGAAGGTAGCCTCTTAGAAGGGAAAAAATAATAATAAAAAGGCAGGAAAATGACAGGAGGAAAAAGTCACGCTGCCCGCCCGGCAGAGTTATGGTCACGCCAACCGTTGGGTCATACTCACCCGCACGACCACCACCTGCACGGTAACGTGCTCGGGGAGGCGGATCGGGGCCCTGAAGTGCACGGCCAGAGCAACGAGCAGGTGCAGGATGGCCACCAGGTTCTTCCCGTGAATCGCTGTGGGCGGGGAGGGAAGGAGGGAGCTGCTTAGGACCCGCTTGCACCGGAACCCGAGCCTACGACCAGAACGCTGCGTCCAAACGAGACCGAGACACAAGGGTGGAACAGGCCGTGGAAAAACTGAGAGAGCCCACGAGCATCCGGGGTGGACTGACCTCTAGTTTCTAGTTTTTTCTTTTCTGTTGGCCTCAGGTGACGTGGGCAAACACTTTTAAAAGCATAACGTTTTTAAAAGCAGTAGATTTGGTGGTGATAGGAGGAGTGAGCAGGGTGCTAAAATTAGCACAAAAGAAGGGACAAATGAAGAAACACAGGTCACGGCCACTTGCCCATCATGATAATGAACGTTATTATCTTTGGCACTACAAAAGTTCTCCCTCTCTGCAGTCAGCCATCGCAGCGCGGGTAAATGTCGCTCTGCCCAGGGATGTCAGACATTAGCTCCCGCCCAGCCTAAGTCAGTCCCTGGTTACTGTCCCCAGCCCTCTTCTAACTCTTCCTTAGCACGTGGAGTAGGGCTTGGTTATAATCACCACTTCTGTGTAGGGCTTTACGGAGTACAGAGCATTCGATTGTGAACCCACAGCCCCAGCAACCCCCCAAGGCAGGCTTGGGTTTGTCCCAGGTCTCAACGCCAAGAAACCAGGTCCAGGACCAAGCACCTGGACGTCCCCTGCACAGCCAGGGCTCAGCTCACCAAAGCACGGAGGCCCCTTGTCAGGCGGGGAGAGCTCTGCAGCCACAGCCCGACGGCCTGACGGCCCTGCATCGAGGATGGGGGTGGGGGCAGGACGGAGGGGAACCTTCCAGCTCCTCTTGGTTTAGTTCTTCTGGGTTCATGTCTGGGCTGGAGATACTGTGATGTCATATATCCCTAATGTCAGCCCACTCTGTGACACATTTCAAAGGCCAGCAGTTCATTTGGTGCCATGGGTATTTGGGGTTGAGTCCCAACAGGAACCCCGCAGGGCCTCTTCTGCCTCTCAAAGCCTCCCTGATCCACCCAAGCGGAAACCACCCCTCTCTACTCCGAAGCACGGAAAAGCAAAAAATCGCAGCACAGCTGAGTCCCTTTCCTGCAAGCTCCACAGCCTAACTTCCTCCTCCCCTGCCTTGCTCCTCTGCAACGCTGCCTCTCACAGAACTCCCAAGGCAGCCTTTCAAAATGCAAAGCCCGATGTGATGATGAATGTCAAAAGACAAAGGATGGGCTCGCTCCAAACGCTCCCTCCCCCAGCAGCCACTCACAGTCCACGTTCCACCGGAGCGCCCAGCCACGGGGCCGCAGCAGGTCATGCACCGCTTCCAGAACAGTCTGCAGCTTCTGCTTCTGCCCTATTTCAGACTGTGTCACCTCAGCCACATTCAGCTTGCGGTCTGCCAGTTTTTCTGCAGTGAGAAGGACAAGAGCAAAGGGCAGTGTCACAGAAAGCCAGAGGCACTCAGAGATGCCTCAATGAACTGGCCCAAATGAGGTCCCCAAAGGGGAGCAGGTTGTCACTCAACAGTGGGGAAGTTTCAAGGTGTTGAGCCAAGGAACTCTGAGCTTTCAGGTCATTCGTGCTCCTTAGAAAATTACTCCAGAATGAAAAGGGGAGATGAGTTAAGGATAAAGCTCTGGGTGTCGCACTTGGGAACATTCTGTACATAGTAAGTCGGAAAAATGCTTTAAGATGCAGTTGGGAGGTTACCCGGGAGGGGCGGAGTGGGCCGGGAGGTGAGGACACTGTCCAGTGGATTCTCAGGGGGAAGAGGACTTGGAGGAAGATAATAAAAAGGGTCTTAAAAGCTGTCCTCTGCCTCCCTACACACAGGCTCCCCTTCTTGTTTCTCTAACATTTTGACACCACAATGAGAAGTTTGATTAGATGTTCACGGAACTCGTGACTATTTTATTATCAAGAGTGAGCTGGCAGCAATCTGGAGGAGCCAGGACCAGAACTGTCACATCTACTCCAGACTCAGTCACTGAGGCTAACACCCAGCATGGCTGGTGCTCCTTCAACCTCCCTCCGAGCCGGGCAGCCGGGGAGGGCAGCCACCGGCCACCAGTGCTGGACCCCACGCCCATGAAGGGCACCGTGGCAGCCAGGACCTCAGGTTTCCCTCCTAGTCTTTTATTCTAGGACTCGAGGGCTTCCTGGTTAGATGTCCTCTGCAGAACAACAGAGCAATGACACAGGCCATCATGAGATAGTTCTCTGGGAGGCTGATTACAAAGCAGTTGTCACAGCTCCTGCCACTGTGAGCCTTCCACACAGAGCTGCTGTTGGCCACAGCAGCACCGATGGGAGATCATAAAAGCAACCAAGTCCAGGCTGGTCACAAAAGGAGCTTCCATTTCACACGCAAGCCCCAGCACATAGTTCTGTATAAAGCATTTTGGCTGGAAGCTCGGGCTACGTCAACAGTCCCCTATGTCTCCCCCCTCATTTGGAAGAACAGTTTTGGTATTCCCTTCGGGGTAATATAATTATATAGGAATGCCTGCTGGGCTCACGATACCCCTTCGTTCGTCCCTTCATTCGTTCATTCACTACAAAATCGTTCCTGAGCACTCACTATGCGATGGGCACTGTCCTACATGCTGAACGCAGCACAGAAGTACCTAGTGAGGAGACAGACACGTAATCTCAGGTCGGGTGATGATAGGAGAAAAACGAAGCAGCCAACAAAACCACATCCTGCAGGGGAACGGAAGTGATTCCTGATTATACATTTGGTTTCCCTGCATCTGTATCTAATAGGTCCTAGCTGAATAATCCACAGCTCTCTGTCTGTATGAACACCCTGAAAGATACACAGCAAGCAGGTCCCATGTGTGTTCAACCACCAAGGACAGGGCAGAGCAGGAGCCCTTGGGGAAGGAAGAAGGGGGAGGGAGAGCCAGGTGGCCCAAGAGCCTAGCCCACAAGGGAGACAGGGAGCCCAGCACACCCCTGCTGTCCCCCTGCCATCAGCCAACCCTGCAGATTGAACACAGCATGTCACCTGGGGTGGAGGAGAAGTCAACAGAGCTAGGGCTGCCATAACGAAGTACCACAGACTGGGTGGCTTAAACAACAGAAATTTATTGTCTCATAGTCCTGCAGACTAGAAGTCCAAGATCAAGGTGTCAGCAGGGCTGGTTTCTTCTGGGGTCTTTCTCCTTGGCTTGTATGTGGCTGTCTCCTCCCTGTGTCTTCACTTGGTCTCCCCTCTCTGTGTGTCTGTGTCCTAATCATTTCTTCTTATGAGGACCCCAGTCATATTGGATTAGGACCTACCCATATGACCTCATTTTAATTTAATTACCTCTTTAAAGCCCCTATCTCCAAATACACTGAGGGTTGGGACTTCAACAGATGAGTTGGGGCAGGGGGAGACAATTCAACCCATAACAGAGACCAAGGAGACTGGCTGTGTCAGGTGTTGCCTTAGGCTGGGTCTTGGGTGACTCTCCCATGTGGCAGAGAATAAGGTACCTGGCTGCCCACAAGCCCAGCTGTCACATTGCCCACTGATGGGGCTGCAGGGGAAGCTCAGTGCTTTGCCATGGCCAGGACCCCTGTCTTCCTAGCACAGAAAGAGACAGAGAAAGGCAGGGCTATTGTCAAGTGTGGCAGGTGACCATGCAGGATGGCTAAATGTGAGGCTGTGGAGTCACACGAGGAAGGGACTGACTTAGAGGGGTGTGCCAGTGAGTCAGCGATGGGACAACAGCAGCCCGGGAGCTCCTGCAGCACCCTGCATGGGCACCTTCACTCTGTCCATCGACAGTCTACCTTGAGAGTAACACCACAGACACAGAAGAGCCACACCCACAGAAACCTGGCATGTGACAGAGAATCCAGCAGCTGCTTCCAGAATCTCCTCTCAAGAACAACGTGGCCTTACTGGCCAGACACATACAAAAAAATCTTTCACACGACCAGGCAAGATATTTTGATGTTCTGTTGATATCTGAACATTCTCTTTCATTGTTCTTTTTTTTCAAACAATGTAGTCTGTCAAACTACCTGATGTGCAAGAGATTTCAGAATTGCCTTCTAAAGTACTTATGAGATACTCAGACGAGATGGAACAGCAGCTACTCCACAGGTAAGTCTGCCTGCACCAAAGTAAGCCTCATGCTATACTTTACAGATAACAAAATGGATATAGCAGGACCCACGCACAATCAGAGCAGCTTCAGGGTAAGTGCTGCACTTGCTGGAGCCAACTGAAGAGGAAACCAAAAGGATGTGCCTTGAGAGGGCAGGATTCCTGCTCTAAAGATGCCCCGGTCATTCTACCCCAGGGAAGGCAATGGAATAGTTTACAGGCAACCACGACAGAGAGGTAGATGCAATTCAGAGCCTGTTCTGTGATGCTGAGAGCCAGACACAGGGTTCCACGGCCACACTGCTAGATACAAGGCTCAGGGACACACCGTTTCAAGTGATGGAGTGGGTGAAGCCACAAGCACATACAAAAGAATCAGAAATAAAAAACGTAAGTAAGCATAACACTCAAATTTGCTTCTGAAAATATTAGGAAGTGTCTGCTTCAGGCAGTGAGCAAAGCACCAATTCCAGAGACTTCTTCAATAAAGGAGCATCACCACCAACAGCCAAATCTTCAAGTCCAAAACTCAAGGAGGAGTTAAGTCTTTACCATAATTGGCGGCTCTTATAGAGGGAGAAAAGCAGATAACCCAGGGGCAGCTTCCCCATCAGTAGTGTCCTTGCAAATAGCATCAGTCAAAGACCTGTGTGCTCCTCTAGACTTCTTGGTTGAAAGTGTCTACCAACTCAAACATCCGGTTTGGAGACCTTGAGAGCAACTGGCACCTGACAGTGCTGGGCATGACTGTACCAACACTACAATGTAACACATCAAAACTCCAACCACTAACACTTTTTATAATAAAACCGATCATTATAAAACAATCTTGATTAACATTTTAGATTTATTCTTGCACCATGGAAGTTTATTCTAAGATGGGGATTCTTGTCTTAGCCAAATACAGATGTTAACTCCTGGCTGTTCGGCATTCAGCCAATAACAAATTTGGAATGCCCTCTCCAGGTGGAGTCTTCTGGTGCCACGGCGTTAACATCACCATGGCTCCACATTTACACCGAAGCCTGGACTCCACATGCATCTTAATACCAGCAAACCCACACTACTCCCAGGCCACAAACTGCTCAGGCCACAACTGCTCAGGCCACAAACTCAGCCATCAGCCTCAATTCCTCTGGCAGCTTTAACCTCCAATGGCTCCACATTTACACCGAAGCCTGGACTCCACATGCATCTTAATACCAGCAAACCCACACTACTCCCAGGCCACAAACTGCTCAGGCCACAACTGCTCAGGCCACAAACTCAGCCATCAGCCTCAATTCCTCTGGCAGCTTTAACCTCCAAAATACCTCCCGTTCTGCACTTCCACTGTGGTCCGAGCCCCTTCATCCGAGGCCTGGGCTGCTGTCTTGGCATCCTGGTCCATCTCCCAGCTCCAACTCCTGGCCCTCCTGTCCATACTTTCTGCACCCAGAAGCCCAAGTGACCTTCTAAGGCTCCAACTCAAATCATGTCATGGCCCTGCTTAGAGCCTCCACTGGCCTCCTGTCACCTGGAATAAAAGCCTCTGTCTAGCAGGGCCGGACGTGATCTGAGCCTGTCCATCTTCTCAGCCTTACCTTATGACCCTTCCCTCCCTCACTGCCACCCCCACACCCACCCCCGCCTCCAACACAGCAGGCTCTTCCTCGCCTCCAACTGAAGGAAGCTGTGCACAACCTGCTGCAGCTGCACTGCTGGGCATCGCTCAACACCCACAGAGAAAGGATGAGGGGGCAGATGACCCTAAAGCCTGGGGGCTGGGAGACGCCAGCTGGGAGGCCTGCACTGTGGCTTTACGTCTATTTCCAGGACAAGCAGCCAATGTCACCACGTAGAGAAGAGCGTGGTCCAGCCCCAGAGCCCTCTGCATAGGATGGGGCAGGACAGAACTGTCCCTTCCCGTCCACTCACCCAAGAGCTTCTGCAGCACTTGGCCATCATACAGGTCCTCCTCCAGCTGCTTCACGATGATTCTCTCCTCCACCAGCACGTCATTGATCCAGCTGAGGAGCACCTGTGGGAGAGGCGGGCGTTAGAGCCTCACTCCACCAGCACCATGCAGACCAGGCAATGACCACAGCAAGTGCAGGGACAGACAGCTGCATGACACCATGACAGCCACCCGACCACGGCCTGGTGAGCCGGGGAGGGGGAGCTAAGCTTCTCTCTCTATGGATGGATGGGGTGGGAGGGGAGGGGGCTGAAACACAAGCAGCCTTCACACCCACCCCAGTCTGCCAGGACTTCCCAGGGAATGCCCAAGGATACCCTCGTTAGAGGGCAGTCACTTTGGTGAAACGGGGCCTCTTCCCACCTGGGAACTTGGGTAAGGTGGAAAACTCCCAGTAAAAGGGAGTTTTACCCATTTGCCTTGGTATGGAAGGGGGTTAAATTAGTAAGTGTTAATAATAATGCCCCGCCCCGTGGCCCCTGAGAGTAAAGGCAGGCCATAAAATGTCCATCCCCTCCCGTCCACAAGATCTGCACCACAGTAGTCCCCATCACCCTGAGCCCCAAACTGTAGCAGGAAGGGGACCATGTGGCCGTCACTGATGAGCTGGGGGCTCCTACTCTCTGCAGCATTTTTAAAGCAGCTTTATTGAGATGGAATCCACGTACCACACCACTCACCCTTCTAAAGTGTGCAGTTCAGTGGGTTTTACTATTTCACAAAGTTGTGCACCCGTCACCATAATCAACTTTAGAACATTTTCATCACCCCAAAAGAAGCCTGTACCCATGAGCAGGCTCTCCCCATTTCTCCTTCCACCTGCCCCTTCCAACCACTAACCATTTTCTGTCCCCACGGATTCATGTTTTCTGAACATTTCACATAGAAGAAATCGTACAATACGTGACCTCTCACGTCTGGCTCCTTTCACTTGGCATCACGTTCTCAAGGCTCACCCGTGCCGTAGCAGGTGGCAGAGCCTCCTTCCTTCTTATGGCTAAATAATATTCCACTGTACGGCTGTGTCACATTTGATTATCCACTTAGCAGCGGGTGGACATTTGGGCTGTCTCTACTCTTGGCTATTGGGAGAAATGCTGTGATGAACATTCACGTACAAGTTTTCGTGTGGACGTAGGTTGTTATTTTTCTAGGCCAGCCCTCCTCTTAAGCCTTTTCTCAACAGATTTTCCATTCACTTCACTGGACTACTTTTGGCTATTGGGAGAAATGCTGCGACGAACATTCACGTACAAGTTTTCGTGTGGACGTAGGTTGTTATTTTTTCTAGGCCAGCCCTCCTCTTAAGCCTTTTCTCAACAGATTTTCCATTCACTTCACTGGGTGAGATACTTCAGAAGACGATTGCTTCCACTGCGAAAACATCTGTAGAAAAACAGCACTCCCGCTGAACAGAATTCCGGCTGGCCAGTCCTGCTTACGACACTTCTGCTCCACAAAATGCAACAGATGCCTGCACAGACGTGATCCATAATACGTAGCCCATGATTTTTCAGTAGAAACAAAACTAATAAAACTATCTAATTGGTCCCAATAACCTCTTAGAAATGGACNCGGCTCCACATTTACACCGAAGCCTGGACTCCACATGCATCTTAATACCAGCAAACCCACACTACTCCCAGGGGCCTCCTCAACTGCTCAGGCCACAAACTCAGCCATCAGCCTCAATTCCTCTGGCAGCTTTAACCTCCAAAATACCTCCCGTTCTGCACTTCCACTGTGGTCCGAGCCCCTTCATCCGAGGCCTGGGCTGCTGTCTTGGCATCCTGGTCCATCTCCCAGCTCCAACTCCTGGCCCTCCTGTCCATACTTTCTGCACCCAGAAGCCCAAGTGACCTTCTAAGGCTCCAACTCAAATCATGTCATGGCCCTGCTTAGAGCCTCCACTGGCCTCCTGTCACCTGGAATAAAAGCCTCTGCCTAGCAGGGCCGGACGTGATCTGAGCCTGTCCATCTTCTCAGCCTTACCTTATGACCCTTCCCTCCCTCACTGCCACCCCCACACCCACCCCCGCCTCCAACACAGCAGGCTCTTCCTCGCCTCCAACTGAAGGAAGCTGTGCACAACCTGCTGCAGCTGCACTGCTGGGCATCGCTCAACACCCACAGAGAAAGGATGAGGGGGCAGATGACCCTAAAGCCTGGGGGCTGGGAGACGCCAGCTGGGAGGCCTGCACTGTGGCTTTACGTCTATTTCCAGGACAAGCAGCCAATGTCACCACGTAGAGAAGAGCGTGGTCCAGCCCCAGAGCCCTCTGCATAGGATGGGGCAGGACAGAACTGTCCCTTCCCGTCCACTCACCCAAGAGCTTCTGCAGCACTTGGCCATCATACAGGTCCTCCTCCAGCTGCTTCACGATGATTCTCTCCTCCACCAGCACGTCATTGATCCAGCTGAGGAGCACCTGTGGGAGAGGCGGGCGTTAGAGCCTCACTCCACCAGCACCATGCAGACCAGGCAATGACCACAGCAAGTGCAGGGACAGACAGCTGCATGACACCATGACAGCCACCCGACCACGGCCTGGTGAGCCGGGGAGGGGGAGCTAAGCTTCTCTCTCTATGGATGGATGGGGTGGGAGGGGAGGGGGCTGAAACACAAGCAGCCTTCACACCCACCCCAGTCTGCCAGGACTTCCCAGGGAATGCCCAAGGATACCCTCGTTAGAGGGCAGTCACTTTGGTGAAACGGGGCCTCTTCCCACCTGGGAACTTGGGTAAGGTGGAAAACTCCCAGTAAAAGGGAGTTTTACCCATTTGCCTTGGTATGGAAGGGGGTTAAATTAGTAAGTGTTAATAATAATGCCCCGCCCCGTGGCCCCTGAGAGTAAAGGCAGGCCATAAAATGTCCATCCCCTCCCGTCCACAAGATCTGCACCACAGTAGTCCCCATCACCCTGAGCCCCAAACTGTAGCAGGAAGGGGACCATGTGGCCGTCACTGATGAGCTGGGGGCTCCTACTCTCTGCAGCATTTTTAAAGCAGCTTTATTGAGATGGAATCCACGTACCACACCACTCACCCTTCTAAAGTGTGCAGTTCAGTGGGTTTTACTATTTCACAAAGTTGTGCACCCGTCACCATAATCAACTTTAGAACATTTTCATCACCCCAAAAGAAGCCTGTACCCATGAGCAGGCTCTCCCCATTTCTCCTTCCACCTGCCCCTTCCAACCACTAACCATTTTCTGTCCCCACGGATTCATGTTTTCTGAACATTTCACATAGAAGAAATCGTACAATACGTGACCTCTCACGTCTGGCTCCTTTCACTTGGCATCACGTTCTCAAGGCTCACCCGTGCCGTAGCAGGTGGCAGAGCCTCCTTCCTTCTTATGGCTAAATAATATTCCACTGTACGGCTGTGTCACATTTGATTATCCACTTAGCAGCGGGTGGACATTTGGGCTGTCACTACTTTTGGCTATTGGGAGAAATGCTGCGACGAACATTCACGTACAAGTTTTCGTGTGGACGTAGGTTGTTATTTTTTCTAGGCCAGCCCTCCTCTTAAGCCTTTTCTCAACAGATTTTCCATTCACTTCACTGGGTGAGATACTTCAGAAGACGATTGCTTCCACTGCGAAAACATCTGTAGAAAAACAGCACTCCCGCTGAACAGAATTCCGGCTGGCCAGTCCTGCTTACGACACTTCTGCTCCACAAAATGCAACAGATGCCTGCACAGACGTGATCCATAATACGTAGCCCATGATTTTTCAGTAGAAACAAAACTAATAAAACTATCTAATTGGTCCCAATAACCTCTTAGAAATGGACATTTACGGCCCCTCTCGGAGACGAGCAGAAGGGACAAATCCAGTATATATTGCTCTCTGTCACTCTTTGGAACAGTTGCAACCTGCAAAATTGGCCACAAAGCAAATTTCTGTGAAGTATATTCTACTTTCCCACTCACTCAAAATTATTTAATCAGACACACAATCCCATGAAGAATGGGAGTAAAAATAAAGGGAGGTTTAAGGAAGAGAGAGGTGCGGTGCTCCGGCTTTCTGATTTTGTCAAGAGCATCTCCGAAAGGTCAGGAGGACAGAGCGGGCTCCTCTGCTCCAGCCCTGGGGACAGCACTGGCCAGGAGTCCTGGGGCTGAACCCGAGTCCCCGTCCGCCCACCTGGGGCCCCCACAGCTCCCAGCTGTGCCACCTGCTCGGGATGCCTGCTCCTCTCACACTCCACTGCCTTCCTCCGAGGCCACCTCATGTCCTCCTATGACTTCCAGCGCTGTCCCCAACCCAGAAACCTCTAAACTATGGCCTTCACCTCTGCACATTCCTTCTGCTCGGTGCTCCATGGGCTCCTCTTGCTCCCCAAACCTGCTGCTTTTCCAGGAGGGAAAGAAGACCACCCCAGGACAGCGTCGGGAGCTGGGCTTTATCCTGTCACCCCACTTCTGTCCACTTCCTAACTCAGTCCATGTTCCTCTTGTTCAATCCACTGTCTCTCCCTGGGCCACTGCCACAGGCACCACCCTAGGCCTTGGAGATATGAAGAAAGCTGACCTGGTCTGTGTTATGCAGGGAAGGGCACATGCATGAAGGGGGCACATGGCAGGGCACCGGGAGCCAGGCCACCTCATCTTCCCATGGTTACTAGAGAGAGCTGGTCCCTACTGCACTGGGTCAGACCGCATGCTTTCAAGGGCCTACGAGGATGTTCCACATGGCACATCTCTGTCACCTCTATTCCGTCTCTGACCACTCTCTTCCTTGCTCACTAGGCTCCAGCCACTGCCCTTCTCACTGGTCCTTAAATGTGCCAAGCATGTGCATACCACAGGACCTTTGCACCTGCTATGGCTCTGTTCTCCCAGGCACCAACACACAGGTCCCTGCTCAAATGCCACCTCCATGACCACCTCACCTGAAATGGAGGGTGGGTTTGTTGGAAGGTGGGGTCTCTGATTCCTGTTTTAGTTTTCTTCAAAGCACTCACAGCCATCGGATCACATATTCACCTGTCCCTGTTCTGCCTGTCTTCCCAGATGGACTGTCAGCTCCATGTGCATTGGGTGTTTGTTTTGCTCAGTGCCATATCCCCAGTGGCTAAAACAGGAACAGACCTATGGAAGGGGCTCAAACAAACTGCAGAACTGCCTAGAGACTTTCTAGAAAGGTCTGGAAAGTCTAGAACATTTGTTTCTAGAACATGGTTCCAGAGGCTTCCTTGCCCAAGCATAGTCCTGTTAGAAAATACACAAAGGACCATGTTTCTGCTATAAGGAAACTAAACACAACACACACACACACACACACACATCTGGATCTCTAACTCAGTCCAAGCCCAAACACAAAAATAACAAACACGATGGGATTAAAATTGAATTGCACGAAGCAGGCCAGGGCAGCCAGCGCTGGGGAGCAAACATAGTCACTGCCCCAGGGGTGCAGCTTAATCCTGGTACCACAAATCACCCTGCCACGGTGCACTCCAGGATATCCATCTTCATCCTCTCTTTCACAAAAGACTTTCTAAAGATAGCACCAGCCATCATTTTCAGGAAGGTACTCATTTGCAAACCCCGAATCCTGTGGGCAAATGTCCAGGACACACATTAATTATGTCCTGGACACAGCACTCTATGCTTTATGAGCTTGCCTTAACCAGAAAAAAAAATCACCTTTCCTTTAGTTTCTTCTGAATTATACTCAGGATCTGCAGTCTGTCTCCCCCAGAGCTTTGACAGTTACATTCTAATCATGTCCAATCAGAGTGGTGGCCACTGAACTCACCGAGGACGTGGGCTTCTTGCAGGAGGCAATGTGGCCTGTGGGGCCAGAGGGCCTCCTGGGGCATCTCCATGCGGCTCTAACAGCACCGACTTCAACCCAGAGGGTCTTCTCCGTGCAGCTGACTTTTTAGAAAACAGAACCTAAAGACCAGGGAGAGTCTTGTCCACCAAACTGGGAAACGAGATGTGAAGTTTGTTCTTAGGGAGAAATGCACACTCCAATGTAGTGCCTGCTATTGACCAATGTGCCTAGGAGGTGTTGGGTGGTTTTTCCCCAACACCAAATACATTGTTCTACCAGCAGTTCACTGGTTCTCCAACAGCAACTGGGCATCCTACAATTCAATTCAATTCTGACACTAACTAGCAGGAGTTAGATCCCAGGTTAAGAGCTCAGTCCCTCAAAACTGGCCCCACTGCAGATGCCAGCTGCAAACGGGGTCCTCAGGCTACCTGCCCTTCTGCCCAGCTGACCACAAGCAGGGCTGCCTGCCTTAGGCTCAATAATTTGGTCGAAGGACTCATTGAACTCAGGAAAACACTTTACTTAGGATTACCAGTTTATAATAAAGGACAGAACTCAGGAACAGCTTCACGGGAAGAGACGCACAGGTATGGGGAGGGGTGCGGCGCTTCCGTGCCACTTCCAGGCACGACCCCCACCCAGTGCCTTCATGTGCTCATCAGCTCACATCTCCTTTGAACCCTGTGTTTGGGGTGTTCATGGAAGACTCATTACAGAGGCATGATCAGGTAAGTCACTGGCCACTGGTGATCAACTCAATCTCCAGCCCTTCTCCCCTCCCCAGAGATGGGGGGATGAGGGGAAGGCCTGATGTTCCAACCCTCTCATCAGGTGGCCGGTTCCTCTGGGACCAGCTCCATTCTGAGTCCCCCTCATTAGCACAAACTTAGGCACAGTCAAAACGGGCTTGCTAAGAAAACAAAAGACCAAAAAAACCCACAACAGTTCCCATCACTTGGGAACTTCCAAGGGTTTTAGGTACTCTGTGCCAGGAACCAGGGACCCAGAGCACATACAGATGTTTTATTATATACCATGGCTGTGAAGGCCCTTCTCTGCCTATTCATTCTGGGGAGCACAGGAATCGCCAGTCCCTCTTTCGAGACTCATTAAAAACACAACATATCTCATCTGTAAACCTCCATCTGCCTGTGCAGCACTCGCTGTGTACCCATAAGTAATTCAGCAGAGAACGCAAGAGAAAATGACACAGGAAGAAACACCAGCAGAGGCGACTTCAGCACACCCGCTTCTGCCTCTTGACCCTGCAGGGCCCCTGTGCTGGTTTTTAAATCTGCACCGCAGACCAGCCAGTCCACCTCCATCCCGTGTGCCCTGTTCCCACTCCTGTCCCAACAGAAATGACAGCAATAACATGTGACCATGTGCACGATCCTCACAACACCTCAAGGTAGTTGCTATTATTCTACCTCTTTAGTTTGAGTAGGGATTTGCATCCAGGAATCCAACCCCAGAGCACACCTCCACCCCGTAACACTACATCATAAGCAACAGATGCTCAAAGATGATGTTTGAATGGCCGGCCTCGTTCTCCATGCCTAGCTTAGCCAGAGCCAAGGATTTTTTTTTTACAGGAGCAGAGAGAAGCTCAATTTTGTAAACAGCAACAG